CAGCCTCCAAGCAGACCCAGGAGAGCAAGCACCATGTGCACAGAGTAGGGATGGGCTGGTCCTTAGAATCACCAGCAGACCCGGCCGGGTGTGGTCAGCTCTGAGGGAGCCTTACACCACCTCACTCTGGGAGGGAGAGCTGTGTGGTATGCACTAGACAGAACAATACGGTATCCTGGAAGGGACATGACAGGAGACTAAGAAGACCTACGTTCTAGCACTTTCTGCCACTCAGTAGCTTATAACTTGGGCAAAGGACTTGATCTCTCTGGGCCCCCTTCGTCACCCGAAAGTGGAGTAACAGGTGCCCACGCTCGCACAGGGCTGTATAAAGTTGAGATCCGACAGAGCTAGAGAATGTTCCCAAACGATAAAACACTGCCCAACTACAGTCTATTAGTCTTACGCTTCATAAGAAAAAAACCTTGCAAAAAAGTTGATTAGACTAACATCTAATTTTACAAAGTAAATAAAGAAGCAGGAAAAGAAAGATCCATGAAAACTCAGAATATGTCCAACCAACAAGCATTCTGTTCTTCTGGCCAGAATATGGATGTCGCTTTTGAAGAAACACTGAAATGGGACTTGTCTCGCTCTGTACTATCCACCTTTCCTGGGCCCTCCGTTAGCCGTGGTGCAGACTAAACAGGAAGCGTAGACTAAACAGCTGCCTTGGCGAATGCCTCCTCTTGGTGAGAGGTGGGGGGAGCAGCAGGCCGCTTGGAGGCACTTCGAGGTGAGGCCTCCCTGTACCAGCCGAGCAGAGCTGGCAGCGGCTCCCTGGAGCCACGGGACACAGTCTTTGCCAGTTCAAGTGCAGAGAGAAGACCGGCCCTGCAGGTCCCTGGATAGAGCCTGGAGAGACACACTGGGTCACTGGGAACTGCACTGCTGGGAACGGAGCGTCTTTCCGCCTGAGAGGGTGTCTGGAGGACGGGGAGGGAAGTGGACAGTGGGGCAGGGCTCTCGGGGAGGTGGCTGCAGCTGGCCCGCGGGGTGGGAGCCGGGCAGCACGGAGCTGACGTGCATGCAGCCTGGCCCTGCCTGTGAATGAGAAAGGCCCACCCTCAGCTCCCACAGGCCTCTCGCTGGCTGGGGGAAAGGCTACAGCAGACCTCAGGGTCGGGGAGGCCACCCTGGGTGTGGCCATGGCAGACAGCTCCCCAGAGAGAGGGCCCCAGGCCCCGTGCTGAGCTGGCATCTTCCTTCCCCTGCAGAAAGTGATTACATCTGAGCGGCCATGGAAGAGGGAGAGGAAAGCTAAGAGAAGGGGATGTTTGAATCAAGGAGGGGAAGCATGCGCCCCAGTCCTCCCCTGATCCTGGGAAGTTGGGGGGCGGGCACAGAGAAACTGTCTGTGCTCCCTCCCTTTCAACCTCCTACTCTGAATTCATTTTTCACTTCATTTCACATGATAGGAACATGATGTCATTTTTCCTGTTACTCATCACATTAGCAAACAGAGCTACTGCCAATTCACAGCACTGCTCTGCTCGGGGTCAGTGGGCCACACGGGCACCAGCGCCACTTTGTCCCCAAGGTGTAATCACGGCCTGTCAGCATCCCTTTCACCCAGCCATGCGTTTCCATGGGAACACGCGGGATCCTGGGCTCGGGGGCCCTGATTACACAGAGCCACAGTGGGTTTAGGCTGCCAGTGAAACGGTGTGACCATGGTCACCATTCGACCTGTCTGTGCCTCAGTTTCCTCATTTCTTATCTCAGGGCTGTTGTGAGGGTCACGTGAGATTGAGGTGCTAGAGCAGTGCCTCCTCTTCAGCATCTCAAAAGACACACGGAGCACAGGACAGGCTCTGTCCTCGGAGCTGGGGCAGCAAAGGGGAAACGGCCCCAGTCCAGCCCACAGGGGCAGGCATCCCATGGGGAGAAAGGCAATGAAAAAGCTGCTGCTGCACCTGGCCGGTGTGGCTCAGTGGTTGAGCGTCAACCTGACCCAGGCACCAAGAGGTCATGGTTCGATTCCCGGTCAGGGCACATGCCCGGGTGCAGGCTCGATCCCAGTGGGGGGCATGCAGGAGGCAGCTGATCATGTTCCTTTCTCATGGCTGTTTCTATCTTCTCTCTCCCTCTCTCTCTCAAATCAATAAAAACATATTTAAAAAAGAAAAAAGCTGCTGCTGCTGCCGCTGCCATAGCACCGAGGGCAGCTGTGGGGAGCGCAGGGTGCTCAGCAGCTCAGGCTGTGTCCCTGGGAGCGAGGTGCTCCCCCCTCTCTCTGCACTTCAATTTTCTCAACTCTCAACAGGGATAGAGTAACAGCTACCTGACCGCTATGAGGATTACAGAAAGTGGTTGAAGTAAACATCACACACACTTGGTGTAAGGTAGTTAAGTATTAGTTGTAAATGCTAATGACAACTGTAGCACTAGTGAATGTGGT